ATTTTAGACCCCTTCTTTGGGCTTGCCTTTGATCTGCATGCCTTAGAAAAGCATCTGTAAGCATATCCGTCTATAATCGTGGCAGTCACCATAATCCTCATTCTTCCATCACACCTCATACAATTTATTTCTTTTTAATTTAAATTGTATCTCGAAAAACAATCTTGAGTCTTAGAATTTTAAAAAATATAACATTGTTGAGTTTAAAATTTTCTCTTTTAGATTTTCAATAATGGGGGTTAAAAAATAATTCTTTTTTACCTTTACTTCATCTTTCCACCCCCCTCTCCAAATAACTACATTCACTTAAAAAAATTTTGTACGTAGTTATTCGGAGGAAAAGAGAAAAGATAAAGTGGAGCCAAATTTCGTATATATGGAGAGCACATTGATGAAACCTGGGTCGGAGTGATACCTGCTTTAGACAAAAACATTGTACAGGCCGAGCTATTTGAAAGAATGCTTTTTAGTGAAAACCATATTTATTGATGTAACTTTTCTTAAATATTTTTCTCCTTATTTTGCATCAATAAATAATAATACTGTTTGGTGTATCATCCCAACACCAATAGTATCGTAGGATGAACGAAAAGTGGGTTGGTGACATCCTTTCTTACCTGTTATTGGTTGTGCGTGCACAACACCTACAAAAGTTTGTATAACAGAAATATAAATTGACATGAGGAAGTAAATCATCCTCTAAATTTTGTGAGTTCTACTGATTCGGATATTCATACTCAAAACACTGAATACACGTTAAATGATGCTATAAAACATGGTACTACAGAAAGATCATTTTCAGAATATTATTTATTGGTGTTTTCGTTCAGATATTATTCTTATTGGAAAAAGAAATAGATTTTTCATATTTTTTTAACATTTTGCGTAATGTTTAAAATTAAAGTAAAAGTTTTTATTGTTCTTTTTTTAAATTTTTTATTTTTTAAAAAAGCCCTCTACTCCAAAATACCCTAAAATTTGGCTAAAGTGCTATTTATGGTACAAAAAGTTGGTTAGAGTTTTTTAAAAAAATTTATTCCCTAAAAATGAATTTCTCAAACAATAGCACAATGACTGAGGAGGAGACAAAATATTTTTATAGAAATATTTATATGAAAATATGCAATCAGGCTTGTCAAAAATATGGCAGTAAAACACGACCAAAAGTATCGCTGTAAGGAGATGATAACCAGGGCAATTTTAATGCAACATTGATTTTTATCTTTATAAATGCAAATACACGATTTCAATGTGAAAAAGAACTCTTTTTTATAATATATCCCAAATCTTATTTTTATATAGAAAGTTATTAATATGTGGTCAATAGGACTATCAGTTAATTTAATTAGAAGTATTATAGAAGAATCAATTGATCAAGTAAAAGATATATTTAGAATTATAAGATCTTTTAATATATATAATTCTTGCGAAAAACGCAGGATGGCGACCAGAACTAAGAAAGTTCTCCACAATGCTCGCTCCCGAAGCCAAACTAAATTGGTGTAACTTAAATGGGTTATTAATAACTTCATGGGGAATTGTGCTCTTGTGAGATCCCCTGTTGATCTTATGATTCTCTTGCTGTTGATGATTATGTGAGTTATTCATGACAGCGATGTTCTTCTTTTCATGAATTATTTTTATAGTAAAATTTCTTCAAGAAAATTCAGAAAATAGAAAACATTTCATGTGGAATTAATACCACAATAATACATTTACCTTAAAAAATTAAACCAATAGGAGGAGACAATTTCAAAAATTGAAGTAAATGAAACAAAAATTGGCAAAAATAAACGAAATAGAAGGCACATTATTACGGGATTTGGGATCATAAAATAATTAAATGATCTCTAGAAAGAAAATAGTTAAAATAAGAGTAGAACAAAGAAATGCGGATACCCCATTACCATAAATTCTTTCGATTGTACATATTAATCGCGTTGTTTATACTGATTGCTGGCGCGTACATTTAAATATAAATAACTATTTTACAAGTTATCACGTTGTCAATCATTTCATTCATTGTATTTTCGGGATCCAAACATCTGTGTTTATACCAACACCATCGAAGAAAATTAAAGATCTGTTAAGGCGTTAATCCCATTAAGAGTAAGAACGCGTTATTTGTGTAATTTATATTTATTTAGGTATATGTATCTGAGAAACAAAAGAGGAAGTATCACTTAAAAATTATTAAACATTTCTTTTAAATTATTGATGTTGTTTTTACAAAAAAAATTTTACTAACATTAATTTTTCGAGTTTTCTATCAATTTCTTTTCTTTTTTATTTTTTAAAAACGGGGGCTAAATTTTTTAAAAAAACTCTAATTCACTTTTTGTATTATGGATAGCACTTTAGCTTAAAATTTTGGATCAGATGCATTAGACGCCCCCGTAAAAATAAAAAAAAATTAAAACTCAAATAATTTAATTATAGATGTAAATTTATCATCCGAGTGGCGCTCCCTATACATAAACTCTTGTAGAAATACTTTTCTTTGTTCTACAGTCAACCCCTCATTTTTTTAATGGCCAATTTTAGTTTATTGTTATAAGACTCTACATTTTGAGTATGTGTGCCAGTATTACGATCAACGAATCAATATTTATGACGAATTTTTGATACTGATATAGATTTGATTTATTTGGTGATGGATAAGATTTTCATTCGTCTGTTACTATATTAGTACCATGAATTACAATCTGATTTATTATAGGTAGTAATATTTTTGCAGGGCGATTTTAAATAATGATAGAGTAACCCAAAACTGGAACAAATGAAACATCAACAATTACTAAAACCCAGAACGCAGGTATATGTCGACTACGATGATTTTTTACATTAAAATTTCATTTAGTCCGTCGATTTGTACAACAATGTTGGGGCCACCAAGTTTAATAGGATTATCTACAAAATATTGTTTAATCTTTGAGACTATAATTTTTTTCTAATGCTAATAACAGCCCCTTTTTAATCTGGGCTAGCTCTATAATAGATGTAACCCCAAGACCTAATGAAAAATAATAGATGGCCTTCAGAATGATTTTAAGATTAATTCTAAATGATGAAAGAATCGAACCGCATTTTATAGACAAAGTGGTTTGATATTTAATACAAGCATATTGCATGCATCTCCACTCAAATTTATATATATGCCGTTAACTAATCCCGAAGGCCATGTTTATAAGGCAATAAATGCAAAGTTGCTGGTTTTTTAATATATTATATCTAAATAACATAATTATGATTTCGTAATTGCTCATCAAAGCAATTTCGTCTCTTATATTTCGATTCATTTAAGGGTTAAAAAAATAAAAAAAAATTACTTAAAGCATATGATTGTAATACCACAGTTCCATATAATATTTACACTGTAATCGTATTTTTGGATCAGGTCGATTATACACCCTGCCAAGGTGTATAACCGACCTGATATTTTTTTTTATTTTTTTAACCCTCAATGGCAGAAGGAAGAGAGTATCTAAATGGGATTTTAATTGCTGATCATTTCGAGCTTATTTCTATGGCTTTTAGGTGGAGAATTTACATATTTAACAGTCTTGCCTTTATTGTGGGCAATTTATGAAATTAAAAAAATCAAAAAAAAAGTTGATAAATCTGAGTGGAGGTGCCTTAATTACAGATATCTTAAGTAACAGACAACACACAGTTTAAGATATAATACGTGTCATCAAATTTTGGAAACCAAATTACATGTTATTTTGGTTGTAATTTATTATCTATCTATTGGATTACAAAATTGTAAAATATTGCTTTTAACTAATATATCAAAAGACACTTTAATAAATATCCGAAAATTGATTTATAGCTAAATAGAGCAACATTTTTTAGAAAATCCTATTAAATTAGGAGGTCCGGTGTCGTAGTACAAGTAGATGAAACAAAGATTAATTATAATATGTAAAAAATCACAGGGGCAGGCCTGTTCCGTCCTGTTGGGTATTCTGCATTATTGATATGCCAAATCGCCCGGCGTTGGGTGTTTGCCGCATTGTTTCTGTTCGTTCCTTTAATCCTTTAATTGATATAATTTCTAATGTAGTAGTACCCGATAGTATTATTTGCTCAGATGAATCGGCTGCTTATGCATCATTGGGTAGGAATCAAAATCTTGAGCATAGAACTGTTTGTCATAAATACAATTTTATCAATCCGGCAGATGGAAATCATACATAACATGTAGAGTCATGTATCAATCGATTAAAGTTGGGTATTAAGGCGATGAAGGGTCTCACGTTGGAGCAGAGAAAATTATTTTTGCTAGAATTTATGTTTAAAGAACGTCTTTCGCCAGATAAATTTATATCTTACATTAAATTATTTAAGTGTTAATCTTTTTTTTGCGGGGTGTATAACCGATCCGATCCGTATTTTTCGCGCCCCGTGATATATCTCCCAGTTTTACAATAACATTCAAGAATATTTTTTTTTAATTTTATTCGTTTTATACCTGTGTAGAAGTCTTAATCTCCCATGTGCTATATTTGAGCAGCCCCGCCAAAGTTTTTTCCCATTGAATTCAGTTCTTTTTATTTTAATGTTTTCTTTATTTTTAAATTACTTTTTTATAATAAAATTTTTTATTTTATCTTTTGTCATAGGGGGCTATAAATGTATTCTTTTTGCTATCTGACAGTAGACATCATAATCGTTATTTATAATATTTAAAAAGCTTTTAAACTATTGTTTGTAGAAGATAGAATACAGATTAAATTAAAAGCATCTCGACTAGTAACAATGATCAAAATGGTAATATGAATACATAAAAACTATTACATGGATGGTTCAATTCCTACGGAAGGCGCCAAGTGGAATTAAATTTGGAGAGGCAGCCCAATTGTGCGTCATCCTCTCTTCGGGACGAGTGTGGGGAGGATGTTTTCACAATTAGGCTGCTACTTTTTTAAATTCATTTTAATGTACAAAAGAACAATTTTGACTAAATTATCGGATTTGTTTGGATTTGAGTAATTGTAGAAAGGCGCCCCGATTATATAAAGAAGTTCAAGTCACATTTAATGTCGTCGATCTTCTTACCCAACATATTAAAAGAGCTGTTTTTAAAAAGCGATTTATTATTGTTTGTGGGCGTCTTTTTTTATAATTCTGATTTCTATTTAGATGCCCTTTGTTATCTTTAAAATATCCTATGTAAAAACTATTTATTTATATTTTTGAGTTTTGGAATTAACCAATAAGTTTTGTCGTAGACATACGAACCAATCAGAGTAATTACGATGAGTCGCCTTGATGTGTTATACTATTGGTTCTTATCTCTCCTTTTTAACTATTTAAATAAATTCTGCTTAAAGGGGATGCAGAACAACTACGACCCGTCCATGAATAACGTGGATCCATTAAATGATTTTAACAAGTTTATTTTAACTTTAAACAAAACTTCTTACATTTTATTGTAATTTCTTTTAATTTATTAAATCATCCGTGTGTTAGTTGTGTCACATAGATGAATATAAGAATTTCGCTTTAATTTTTTGACAAAACATTGGATCTGTTCGGTTATTTGCCCGAAACGAGCAAATAACCGACCAGTAAATTTTAAATTTTTCTTAACCCCCCAAAATGAGAGACCAAAGAACAAATTCTGGGCGTTACTTCATCTTTCCACCCCACCCTCCGAATAACTAAATTCACTTTTAAAAATTCTGTACGTAGTTATTCGGAGAGGGGTGAAAAGATGAAGCAAAGGTAAAAAAGAATTATTTTTTAACCCCTATTATGGAAAATCTAAAAGAGAAAATTTTAAATTCAACAATGTTATATTTTTTTAGAATTCTAAGACTCAAGATTTTTTTTCGAGATACAATTTAAATTAAAAAGAAATTTTTTGTGTGTGGTGTGATGGAAGAATGAGGATTATGGTGGCTGCCACGATTATAGACGGATATGCTTACAGATGCTTTTCTAAGGCATGCAGATCAAAGGCAAGCCCAAAGAAGGGGCTAAAAT